GTGTGTGTGTGTGTGTGTGTGTGTGTGTCTGGGTGAGTAGTGCTAAAGGACACTCAACACAGTTTTACACAAAACAAAATAAAGGAGAGTTACCCCAGTGTCATAAACACACACACACACACAGACATACACACACACCCAAACCCTTCACACACATAGGTCATTGTCTGAAGGATGGCTCTGGGTTTCTATTTGCTGCAATGTCAGCGGGGTTCCCAGGGGGCCATAAAGACAGGGTAAAAGGGCTATGGTTTTCGCTTTCTATCTCTATATATTTCACCCCATGCCAGATTTCCAGCTCTGGCCTATAGGATCTTGGGCTTGGCAGAGCTGTGTTGCAAGAAATGAAATAAGGCAGATTTAAAGAGAGCTACAGTCCTTTTTTAAGCCTTATGCCCACAGGCTTATCTGTGCTGTGCCTAATCTATCCAGACAGCGGGAATTTGATTATTTGATTTAGGAGCCCGGAACAGAGCAAGAGCCAAAGACACAGACTGACCAGAAAGAGAGAGAGAGGGAAAAGCAACAAGGCAACAAAGCCCACAAATTTGCTGACAAGGTCACAGTATATCTGACATGATCTTTGCACCTCTGTCATTAAATATTATTCTCTTAGGACATGTGTTACAGTGATGGTGAAGGGTGAGGAGGGTCCCGGCCAGCACATACAAGCCTTTGGCATAGTTTTGAAAGTCCCTGACCCATCTGTAGTTAGTATCACCTGTCCTCAAATATAATTTGTTATTACCACACTTTTCACTGATCCTGGGTGGTAGAGCTCATGCTTCTGTGATCTTGATCACTGCATTATCATGTTGCTGAATGCCCTGCTTATCGACCACATGAGATGCGGTGTGTCCTGCCATTTAGGACATCAGAAAATCTACAGTTCACCCTGAGTCTCAGTTCAGAGATCAATATGGGCTTTCAATTATCCTGCTGCCTTACTGCAGCTGGGCTTGTGAGACTAAAGCAGTGCATCCTGGGTAACAGACACGGCACACATCCACTCACATACTCACATATTTGACACATTCTGTACATTCTGTTACGAAACAAAGAAAGCTGCATTTGTATCTTGAAAAATACTTGCTTTTGACTAAAATTGAAGGCAGCATCACATGTAACTTTCATGGATCAAAATGCAATGATGGCAGTATGGAGCTATATATGGAGCTAAATGTTATATTTAACTTGTTTTTTATTAAATATATAGTACTCTATTGTTAATGTATTATTTTTTATTTAGTTTAATTAATTTAATACAGAAAAGTATATCATTTCTTGATATAGTTCCTAATTCAAAATGGGCACTCTTACATAATATATGTACATACACTACCGTTCAAAAGTTTGGGATCAGTAAGATTTTTAATGTTTTTAATGGAGTCTCTTATGCTCATCAAGGCTGTATTTATTTGATCAAAAATACAGAAAAAACTGTAATATTGTGAAGTATTATTGCAATTTCTAAATATTGTTTTCCTATTTTAATATAATTTAAAATATAATTTATTTCTGTGACACAGTGCTGAATTTTCATCAGCCATTACTCTAGTCTTCAGTGTCACGTGATCCTTCAGAAATCATTCTAATATGCTGATTTATTCTCAGTGTTGAAACTGTTGTGATGCTTAATATTTTTTTGGAACCTGTGGTACTTTTTTCTTTGATTCTTTGATGAACAAAAAGTTAAAAAGAACAGCATTTATTCAAAACAGAAATCTTTTCTAACAATGTAAGTCTTTACTATCACTTTTAATCCATTTAACACATGAATAAAAGTATTTATTTCTTTAAAAAAAAAAAAAGAAAAAATTTACTGACCCCAAACTTTTAAATACTAATGTATGTTGTAACAAAATTTCTATTTTGAATAAACACTGTTCTTTTTAACTCTTTATTTATCAAAGAATAATGAAAAATGTATCACAGGTCCCAAAAAAATATTAAGCAGCACAACTGTTTCCAACATGGATAATAATGCTGAAAATTCAGGTTTGCATCACAGGAATAAATTAAATTTTAAAGTACATTAAAATAGAAACTGTTATTTTAAATAAATAATATTTCACAAAATTACAGTGTTTTTTCTGTATTTTTGGTCAAATAAATACAGCCTTGATGAGCACAAGAAACTTCGGTAAAAAATATGAAAAATCTTACTGATCCCAAATGGTAGTGTATCTTTACACATCTTTTTCATTTTATTGTAATGAAAATAATTTTATTATTTAGATTTTTTGGGGGAAAATTATCAATAAAATATTGTTCCATAATGTAGTTTCTAATTCAAAATTGGCACTTTTACTCAATATATGTAATAATTAATAATAAAACATTATTGTTATTATTAATATTATTAGTAATAAATTAAACAAAAATAACAAAAATATATAAGAGAAATAAAAATCGAATTACATTAAGTATCAATAGAATTTTTCCCGTAATATAATCCCTAATTCAAAATCAGCACTTTAACCTAATAGCTATATACTGTATTTTTATACAAAGCTATTCATTTGTTTAATGATTATTACACTAATAAAACAGTTTATTATAAATAATTTCATTTTATAATGAATATAATATTATTATAACAAACATAATATCATAAATAATTTATTTAAAACATTGGCACTTTCAGTATAGCAACATGCTTCTGTCCGCCTTTACTGTAAAATTAATTATGAGCTTTAGTAGATTTTTTTGGGCAATTCACATACAAATTTATTTGTACGGCACAGAGAACAACCTGCTAACAAAGTAGTTGTCCATGAAGAGTGTTTCAAATAAGTTCCTTATGAGGTTTTATTTCGGTTAAAATACTACCTTAGAAGTGAGAAAGCTAACTACTATATTATTGGATAAGTATTATAATACTTTCGGCCAATGTTTCTGATTGTAATATTGAGAGTGGTCAGTTTCATGTGTTTCCCACCTGCACTTCTATGTCTCTCTCCACCCGCGAGATGTTGACGGTGTGGGGCTGCCCATTGGCCAAGTTCCTCTGGTCAATGTCGATACTGAAGGGTTCTCTGAGACCACCCAAGTTGTACCGCAGCTGCAGGGAACCTGAGTAAAACAGGGTGAGACATAAAGATCACATTTACCCAGAACTCAACCGCACTGCATTCTTCCTGGATGCAGAATGCCTGAGCGAGTGAGAATTGTGCATCAGTTCTGCACCCTGACATCACTCACCTCTACTGCACTGTACAATGGCCCTACAAGCTGCAGGGAAGAATATTACCTCATTTGGGTTACAGCTCAGGCCAGCAAGATAAATTTGCTCAGAGACTACAGAATAAAATTCAATGTGGGCTTAGGCAGCTAAATTTAAAGAATAAGTATCACCAGTCTTGTGTGCCCACTTTGGGTTTTATGGAGTTTATGGTGTTTAACGAAAGGGAATAAGGGTCATTTTCTTTAAACACCAGATGCGTTTTACTATTAAACTAAAAAAAAAAGGATCACAGTGTTGTGCTTATGCCAAACAAACAGGAATGTAATTGCCTGCGCTCCGCCATTTGTCATATAATTAGCTTTTACTGTTGCACTTCCACTTTAAAAAGCAATTTAGCCTGCTGCAATAAATTTTCCTTTATTATTACAGTGCAGTTTCAAAACTGCTGCAGAACAATCATACAGTCACACACAGATGTGTGTATTGCATCAGCATCCGGACTTAATGATGAACGAAGACTAACCAGGTGCGATGCGATAGGTTCGCAATTTGTCTGTTCATATCTGAAAGCAACAATGCTGTGCGAGGCGGCACAATAAAAGCTAATCAGAACATATTTGATGTTCAGTGTTGGGCAATAATTAAGTAAGTAAAGTACTTAGTAAAGCGTTACTGTAATTTGATTACTTTTTTTAGTAACGGAGTAATTTAACGCGTTATAATTTTCAAAATAGTAATTAGAGTATAGTTACAAGCCGAAGTCTTTATACGTTACTGCCGCGTTACATTGCTGACAGAATGCAGTGTTTTATAATCTAGAGATCTAAAAAGGATGTAGCACACGCACTGTCGAGTGCCAGTGGATTAGAGACGGATGGGCGGGTAGACACTCGTGTGTGTGCGGGATGAGGGAGAATAAAATGATTCACGGGACTCCCGCAAAATAGAAATATCTAAACATAAAATATCTAAAACAAATAAATTGTTATTCATCTATTGCAAAAAAGCAACATGAACTAATATAAAATATAAACGATTAACAGGTGCAAGCGTATGCAGAGTTTCTATTTAGGCTATAACACGTGTTTGCAGCGTTGAGCAATTAAGTGCAGAAATGTGCGTGCTCATGAATCCTCTCATTATAACACACGAATTGTAGACATTATGAAAGATTCATTATGCATATCAAGCGTAGCGTTAGTTCTGGCAGGTCATGTTAGTCAAGCTCGCATCAGCTGACTCTCAGCTGATACCCATCAACCTATGGGAATATGACACCTATCTAAGTATTCATATATAAGGTATTATCAGCAATTTTCGCATTGCTCAATAGCTTATTACCCTCCTCCATCCCCAACTCCTCCTCTGTCAGTCAGGATTCAGCCTTCTGATTCTCCTTTGAATCAGACTAATTCTAAAATGTGTACATAACATTATTGAACTTTAACGATATCTGCAACGATAGCTGCTCTCCCTGCTCTCATCCATGCTAGGCTGCATGGATGCGCAGGGAGTTCTTGCCCAGAACGGAACCATACCGCCAATTCAAACTGTATGCTAATTGTCAATCATCTTTGATGATAGTGGTCCTGACAGAAATATTTATTGTGTTATAATAGAGATTTGTGAGATTGCGATGAACTGAGATGTCTTTTAGAGATTATAAATGCAGCGCTCTTTGCTGGCATTCTGCCATGCCAAACCATGCATGCAGCAGCCGCTTGCTTTACTTAAAAATAACAGTGTTCTGTGAATGTTGATGCTTTAATAACAAATATTTATCGGGAGCGTGTATGCTGGGATTTCATAAATTTAATGGAGAAAAAAGTAACGTAACTAGTAATGTAACTAATTACTAATTACTTTTGAAATAAAGTAATCAGAACAGTAACGTGATTACTTTTAAAAGGAGTAATCAGTAATCAGTAATTTGATTAAATCTTCAGAGTAACTTGCCCAGCACTGTTGATGTTAAATACACAGTTTGGACAAATGAGATTTTAACCGTTCATCTCACACCATGGTCCCTCAACAGACATTTTACTGACTTTACAAGTACATTCCATTATTCTGCTAACTCTAACCATAGAGCTACTGTATATACACAGAAGCCTCATTAGCGGTTGTTTCTATAGACCAATTTCGGTGTTTGCAAACAGTGATGATGTTTTTGTGGGCGGAGCCTATCTGGTGGCAGAAAATTACAGTTTTAAAGTAGCAGTCTATGGAAGCCATGGAATAAAAGAATTTAAAAAAAGACAATTTTGAGTTTATATTCCAAAATTCTGACTTTTTTTCTCGCAATTTCGAGATCATATCTCACAATTCTAATAAGAAAAATCAACTCGTCATTCTCTCTTTTCCCCTCGGCTCAGAATCATTAGTTTATAATCCCACACTTCTGGCTTTTTTCCCCTCTGAATTGACAATTTCGCAAATGTTGAATTAAATTGACTTATAAAATCAAAACTAGGAGACATACACTTGCATTTGAGAGAAAAAAAGTCAGAATTGTGAGATAAAATAGGTACATGTTATAGGTTTAAATAGTAGGCTATTTCATGCTGTAACTGTAGGGCTAATACAATATGTTCCCTATGAACTGCATATGTGAATATTATGTAGACCTACTGTTTAAATCAAATTTATGCTTTAAACGTAGGGTAATCATAGCAGGTTTCATCTATAGTCTGTCCATTTAAACTTCTGTGTTTAGCTTCAAATGGCGACAGTATTTTATAAAAATACTTTGATAGTATTCTATAAAAATTATTTGCATTACGATTCTAACATCCAAAGGCACAACGATACATTTTTTGTCTTATTCCATGTAGTTTACACGTTTCCCTCCACCAGTGTTTTTCTGCCACCACAATGCGCGCAGACCTGCAAGTGATGTAACTGTGACGTCTACTCCAAATTGGTCTATGGGCCTCTATACATAAGTCATACGCCATATTTGAAACTTGATTTGACACTTGAGAGAAAGTTGACTATACGTCTGCAACCGTATATGCATGTATGAATATCTATTTTTGCAATAGAATTCAGGAGGCGATTTTGCTAACATTGAAAAGTCACCACAGTTTAAAAATCTGTAATATTGACTTTAGTTTAAATCTTGCCAGTTTTTACAAACAGAGGCCGCACAATGTTGTGGCATCTTGGAAAACTCACTCGTTCTTAATGTGAGTGATGAAATGTTGACCGTTCTAAGATAGAGGAAGTGTTAACCTGTTTGGAGTGGTCGAATGTGGAATCTACATATTCTTTGGGGAACCCAAAATGTTTTTTCTTTGGAACTGCAATAAAAACACTCTTTTTTTGACTGAACAATATGTTACCATTTTGACGGAGCACCACGGCCATGTAATCCTGGGTTTTCGAGCTGACATAGACCAGAAGGCTGGGTGAAGTAGAGGTGCTGAAGCTGAAGGCCAGATCTTCACGTGTCAGGTTGGTCTCGACAGGAAGGTTGTGGATTACGCTTTTCTCATCCAGGCTGGAAGCTGCAGCGACCACTTCAGGTACCAGATTATACTTGACCAGTGTTCCTGCCTCAAAGTAACCACCAACATCTGGAAAAAATTAGGTGTTTCTTCAAACAATACCGACTATTAGGTAACAGTCTTGATGGTCCTAGAACAACAATTTTAACAATCGATCAGATTTGAGGGTTAGGTATAGTTAGGAATATGCCAGAGCAAAAACAATCATATATTGTACTGATACTTTTATGTACACTACTGTAAAAAAAAAAATTGGGGGTTGGTAAATTTTTAAATGTTTAAAAGTTTCTTAAACTCACAAAGGCTGCATTTGTTTGATCAGAAATATAGTAAAAACGGCACAGTATTACTGTACAATATTATTACAATTTAAAATAACAGTTTTTCTATTTTAATATATTTGAATAAATAAGTGTAATTTATTCCTCTGACGGCAAATCTGAATTTTTTTTTATAGCAGCCATAATGTCAGTCTTCTGTCACATGATCCTTCAGAAATCCTTTTAATATGCTGATTTGGTTTTCAAATAATTTCTGAACAATGTTGAAAATGGTTTGTGCTGCTTAATATTCTTGTGTAAACCATGATAAAAAAAAAATTCATGACATAAATAAAAGCATTTCTTTAAAAATAGAAGTCTTTTGTGACTTTATAAATGTCTTAATTGTCACTTTTGATCATTTTAATGCATTCTCAATAAAAAAATGAAAATTAATATTCCTTATTGAAAACAAAAAATATTTAAATATATTATTATGTCTTACTGTCCCCAAACCTTTGAATTGTAGTGTATGTGTTGAATTAATAAAGAAGGTAATCTAAAACTAAGTGTAAACTCTGAAACCTGTTTCTTAGCCTGAAAAAGTGATGCAAACTGCACAAATGAGATGAATCGTGACATGTATCGCAATATGAATTGTATTGTGAGGTAGCTGGTGATACCTAGTCCTAATTAAAACTATGACTCTTTGATAGGAATGCTGTTTGAGGACCAATAAGAGATGATGAACCAGGAACACATCATACTTCGGGCAAAATCATGGCCACCATTCAATAAATGTGCACTGGGAATGTATAAGTGATGTCTGACTTGGCCATCTGAAATAGAATGGCAAGGAAACTGACATTACTGACATGTTTTGTATTCATGAGGGGCTTCTTCAACAGCTATAAACCAAGAGGACACTTTCCTATTACCTTTTTACTTGAGGGAGAGAACAAAAGTCCTTACACGGATCGTTTAACCCAACTGCTAGGACATGTACAAGTGTGCATGGATTTGTCTTACACAGAAGCAGTATAAACAACGCAGGATTTGTTGCATGGGTTAGAACAGGAAGAACCATGGGAAATCAACATGGGTAATGAAGTAAATACACACAAGGGTAAAAAGAGAGTGAACAAATATGACAATGTGCACCCGCAACGAATATCTCATGTACACAGAGGATGAAGCGGGTTTATCTGTTATTCATGGCATTCTCTCATTCAGCCGTTTTACCCCCGGGAACAGAGCGCTAAGTACAAATGAGCTTTGTACAAATGCTGTATTGGGAGCAGGAAGGAAATCAGTGCAGGGACTATAGATTGGTTTAATAATTTGCTGCGAGGCCCTTGAGCAATCTTTACTTTTCTACCAGGCTGCAACACACAGTTCAGAGGCAACTGAGAAAGACCCACCATGTTTTAGTAGCACTGCGGGACAAAAGCCTCGACACAGCGGGAGCATGTAAGGCAGGGTAAGGATGGTACAGATATAAGGAATTACAATTCTTGAGTACAAAAAATCCCATCTGTGATGTGTTCTGAGTACCAACAACTTTACAGGCCCTGGATTGGATCATTTATCTACTGAACTACTATTACTTTGAAGTCCCACTGAAAGTCCCGCAAAGCCCAATCCAGTCTCATGGCATATACGTACCTGGGGGCACATTTTTGCAAGATGCGAAATACGTATCCCATCTGTGATGTGTTCTGAGTACCAACAACTTTACAGGCCCTGGATTGGATCATTTATCTACTGAACTACTATTACTTTGAAGTCCCACTGAAAGTCCCGCAAAGTCCAATCCAGTCTCATGGCATATACGTACCTGGGGGCACATTTTTGCAAGATGCGAAATACGTACCAATAAGTACATATCACTGCAGTTTCCAAAAAAATGAACACTAGAGGCAGTAAAACTCCGACACCTTTTAAATTATTTTCACACGGAGTATGATTTTCGCACAATTACTTGAAGAGTATTATGTTGTGACTTCAAAACATTTTTAATATGCTGGGAGATTTGAAAACGGATGCTTTTGAGTGTTAGCACCGCACATATGCAGCTTCATATCAATGGGTTTTCATAGACGATAGGTTTGTTCGGTAGCTCACGGAGTATGAAGACGTACTTGAGAGGCGAGGAGCTCTGGTTCAAATCCCGTGTAACTACGGTTCAACAAAACAATTCAAATCTGCATATAAGGAAGTTAAAATGGCACGTTGCATCAAAAAATTTGTTTTTATATCAGTTTTGCATTTGTTAACACTATCAGGTAGGTTTAGGGTTGGGTTTGGTGTTGGGCATATTTCCAACACGATAGAGCATTAACTTTTAGCGACAGTCCCCGGATATTTGAATTCTGAATTGCCGCAATACGTACCTGAAGAAACTTAATAAAAACACAGCAATACGTACCTATATCAACGTAATAAAAACGTGCCAGGGTTCACGTATTGAACCCGTGTTTTAGCGCCACTCAGTGGACATTTCTCTTTGAAACTGCGGCGAAACGTGCAGTAAGGTACGTAAAAACGATGTTGCAGAAATGTACGCAGAGGTACATATTTTTATGAGACTGGGTTGGCAAAGTCACACCCTCCAAACCTGCATGAGTTTCTTCCTTCTGTTGAACACAAAGGAAGATATTTTGAAGAATGCTGGTAACCAAACAGTTAACCACTGACTAGCCATTGACTTCCAATGTAGGGGAAAAAAATACTATGGAAGTCAATGGCTGCCGTCAACTGCTTGGTTACCAACATTCTTCAAAAATATCTTCTTTTGTGTTCAACAGAAGAAAGAAACTCATACAGGTTTGGAACAAGTGGAGGGGTAGTAAATGATGACAATTTTCCTTTTTGGGTGAACTATCTAAGTACAAGATTTTAATTTTGTATTAAAGCAAGTGATCTTTTAATTGTCAAATTATAATTTTTTTTTGCATTGAGATATTTAAAATCTGCAGTGTTTTTTTGTAAAACATTTTCTACCTGTGAGTTTTGCTTTTGGTGTGAACAGGCTTTCAGAGCTACTTTTCTTAGACTTAGTCTTAAATGAGCCCAGATATTTTAGAAACATGTAATTTTTAGGTAGTAAAAGGGTTATTTTTTCATTCTCTATATCTTATTGGCTTTGCATTTAGGTAGAGGGATAGTACACCCTCAAAAAATCATTATTTACTCACCCTCAGGCCATTCCAAACCTGTATCACAAAAGAAGAATTGTAGTTTGAAGAATTGTATTTTTTTGTTAGTTTTTTAAACCATACAATTAAAGTCAATGGGGTCCAAAGCGAAACGAAATGAACAAAAAACACTATGACCCAATTGAGTATCATGCACTGACCTAAAAAAAAAAAAGCAAAAAAGCAAAAAACTAATTTTTCTTCTTGTTTTTCTTTTTCATATCTTCTTTTGTGTTCTGCAAAAGATAGAAACTCATACAGGTTTGAAGCGACATGAGGTTAAGTAAATTTACATTTTTGGGTGAGCTAACCCTATAAATCTAGAAAAATTGCACTAAATTGCATATAGACATGAGAAGAAACACATCACATCCACAGCTCCAAATCCAAATGAAGCAGCAAAGTGATTCCTCTTCCTGGAGTGAAGGTGATATGTAGTATGAACCACAGATGTAAGGCAGCCTGTGGGAGCAATTGCACTGACCCAGAGGCAAAGAATCTGAGAGAATTCGATATTGACTGCAATACCCTAGACGGCACAAGTAAACATGTGTAAAATGGAAATGTGAGTTAAACCATGCAATTACGAGGTTGTTCATGCATATTTCAAACAGAAGGAGATGTTGAAAGCTGAGGGCAACCACCAGAGGCCCTGACTCACAGTGAGTCGCCATCTTTAAACCGACAGCACGAGATGCTTGATGGAGGTCTCGACATAGAGCACGAACTACAGAAGGTGCCTGCTCATGTCAGTGATGCTATTACTATATTCAAATGAGGGAGGCGGAGCTTACATGCAAAGAGTGGCCCTCAGATATTACCGCTCCGTTACAAGTTTAGAGAACTGTTCGGTGTCATATCTCTGGTTAAGGTGTACAGACTTCACAGAAAACTTTTTAAAAGTATGAATTTCTAATCTGCATACGCATACTGACCTTTTGAACAGAAAGGCCCATCATAAGCAGTGGTGGAGCAGTCACAGGAATAGCCGTTGTATTTCTCCACACACTTGCCGGCATTACGGCAATACATCCCAAAACTGGTGCAGTGCCCCGAACAGCCAGGTTTTACACCAGGAGTGACTTTTGCCCTCTCTTCTAAGTCAAGGGTCACCCCGTTCATCTTCAGAGAGCGGATACATCCAAGAAATCCTCTCTGACCTCCAGCTGCACCTAGATAAGAAATAGAGACAAAGACTAGTGAATATTACGCTCGACAGTGGTCTTAATAAAAGTATAAGTGGTACACCAAAATTACTCAATCATTCTTTTTTCATTGCAGGCTTAACAACCAGCTTAAAAATAAAAGGTTCAATTAGAAACATTAAGTTTCAGCCAGTAGTTGAACCTTCTGGTGGGTTTCATTCATTATGGCATGTACCATTCAATACAATAGACCTTAGAGAAATTAGACATCATTAGAGTTCCACTTCCAGGAGAAAATAAACATTTGCCACTTGCTCAATGTCTTGTCTGGACATCTTTTCATTATACGAAGCTGCCCATTTAAACAGAAATCGTACAATCATTTGCTAGATTAATACTAGATTAATAGTAAATGTCCTAGCAGGATGCATCAATTATTTACTAACGGTGAACAATAAAAACAAACCCACAAGTACAATCCTACTACAATTTATCAAACTGCCAAAAGAGGAAATCTTGATCAATTCCTCAAAATAAATTACATGGATTGGAGTATACAGTATATAGATATAATTGCAGTTTGGCTATGCTTTACAGAAAAAAGGAACAGACAACACATTATCAAAGTTTTATAAACTCAATTTAACTCAAACTCACATCAACGGTGGAGTTTTAATTGAGCTGGTGACCTGGTTGGCCATTTAATACAAAACAAACTCACTGAATCCTTTGCTAATAAACCTGAGAGCAGAGCTCTTATCATCAAATGTACAGTAAATATGCTGTGCTATTTCTAATACTTGAACGACACAATGTCTCATGTTTCAAGGACGAACATGAGATAAAACACAAAAACACATTTTAAGTAACATTCTATTTATTCTGCAACATTGTTCCAATCTGATTCATGTCACTTAGCAGACATTTTTTACGGCCTCGTTTGTTGCTGAAGAATCTATTTCACAAAACTTTTTTCACCAGCACTGTTTTAATAAACACAGAAAGTGAGACAGCATGAATAAGCTTAAATGAGGAAAGAGGCTGTTATGGCGAGCTGTTAAAACCCTTTTGAAGTTCTGCCTCCATCTCTGATGAGCCCTGAATCGGAAATTATTCTTTAATAAAACTGTAATGAATTAGCAAATTACATGAATTAGACCATCCTGCACAGTGGAATATATATATATAGATATATATATTCCAAAATATCACAGATAGACAGACAGACAGACGGGTAGTTTCAGTTTGTTGGTGTAAATTTGACAAAAAAGGTACCTACTTTCCTGACAGGCCCATGATGCTGGCTTTCCTTTGGAGAACCAATATCACCCAGATGTGCAAGCAATGAAAGAAATAAAAACAACACCAAAAAAAAACAAAAACATGCAGTAATGAGAAAACTTAATGCATGATCAAGACCAGGTTGCAAGGAGAACACAAAAAGAAAATAAATCGCAAGAAGCAACTTGATGGTGGATAGTAAAGAAGCATTAAAGATTCATGCAAACAGTGAATACAGACATACACATATTATAATACCGTAGACGAATGCAAACGTGTTAGTGGTTGCTAAATCAAAGGTCTGCTTGTTATTTAAGATGAAGTGAATGAGAATAAAGAACGAGCAAGCATTTAATCCTCCATTAAATATAACGTGACCAATATAAATGCAAAGCAAATTCAAATAGACACAAGCATCCATGGGTGAAAGGAAATAAAGGGCAATCTGCTTTATCAAAAAATGATGGCATGGGACTAAATGGTCAGAAAAACTGAGCACGGAGCAATTCACAAGAATTAGAAAGGAGGCCAGACAGATGCTGTCCAGACCTGTCAGGCATCTGTCTGGCCTCCTCTCCAATGCTTATGAATTGCTCCGTGCTCAGAGCAACTGGTTTATATCCGCTGAGTGGGCATAAACCAGTTAGTTTTCCCCACTGAGGGTCAGGGTCTAAAGACTGAGAGTTGCTCTCCATGAACAGTCACGCCAACATTTTACATTTCTACTGAAACAACGGACAAGGATTAGACAACCTTTAACATTCATTTGGACTGCAAAGCTCATTACACCTAACCTAATGTGCGTGATAATGAAATTGACATGCCAGTCCAATATTCTTCAGATCTGTTGAGAATAAGAATGAAATTTTCATCTGCTTCATGGACAAACATGCAAATGAGACATAGAGAGGGTTATGGCTTGGGCAGTGCAATACATTGAATATTAATCCATGATTTTGCTGGTTGCAGCATCCAACATACTGTCCCTTTAAAGAAATAGTTCACCACAAAATAAAAATTTGCAGAAAAATACTGTGATTCTTACAAACATAAAGCTTTCCACCTTACAAGACGTTAACTGATGGACTGGAGTCATATGGATTATTGTGATGTTTATCTCAGATGTTTGAAAACTCATTCTGACGGCACCCATTCACTGCAGTGGATCCATTGGTGAGCAAGTGATTCAATGCTAAATTTCTCCAAATCTGTTCTGATGAAGAAACAAACTGGGCTGGCTTGAGAGTGAGTAAATTTGTAGAACATTTTTATTTCTGGGTGAACAATTTCTTTAAAGGGACAGTCAAACTAAACTTTGAGCATGTGAAATTTATTTGGATTAGTTTCAAGATCCAATATACTAATAGTATCTAATTTAACTTTGGTGGACAAAATGCAGATAGAGTTGGTTAAGATAAGATAAGATAAGCTTGATTAATTTCCATGAATTAGTCTACACTATCCATTAAAAAAACAAACAACAACAAACAAACAAAAAACAACAACAACAAAAAACAAAACAAAAACAAAGCTGTGCTCATATAAAATATTTGGTTAATGTTAAGTTATACTGTTGAATAAACATAAATAATTATTCTTCCTTTAGTTCATTTTAACTTTAGTGAAAAACTAAATGTATAGTAATTTTTCAGATAAAATAAATTAATAAATTACATAGCATAGTATATTTTATTATGTCATATAATACAATTATCAAACATTCATAATAATAATAATACACACCTGTATACTTCCTGTACTGTAGAATTCTGCTTGAAACCCCAATCAATCAATTTGATATCAATAAATACTTCTTGGAAACGTGGACATTTTTTCTGACGTCAAGCTTTAAATACACAAGCTAGACAAGCTTTCTAAAAGCTCTCTCAAGAGAGCCACAGAGGTGCATTATCTTCCCCTTTCTTAATGAGCGTCAAAGTCATTTGTTGAAAAGAATCAAAGCACAAAATAGCACATTGAAAGCCCAAAGCGATTCTGTTCAAGAGATAATTGCCTCATGAGTGACACGGCTTGTTCACACTTTTAAAGGCATAAAAAGATTCCTTGCTAATGTTAGCATAGCACACGACACCATTATTAGTCAGATTCCCTGCTGTGTCTGAGACATTTTTCAGCCATATTCAGTCAAACCAATTTTCAACTTCCTTTTCTTTACAGTGGACTTTTTCATACTTCGGAGGCGAACAAGTTCCCCAGGGTTCCATGTCATTAAGTGCAAGTTGTAATAGCTACACCTGCATTTAGGCTGCAGACTATAAATACATTTTCACTTTCAGACACAGGAGAACATAGAGCGCTGTGCGCGAGACTGCTGATATTTCAGCAGAAACAGCGAGAGACAGAGAAAAAGAGTGGAAAAGAGATAGAGAGATAAAAGAGAATAATTAAAATGCAAAATAACAGCTGAGAATGGAGAGATTCAGGAGGAATTGTGTATTTTTTTGAACACGATAATGAAGAAACATCCTTTTTGTCCATCCTAATCAGCAATAGATCTCATCTGAGATCAGATTTTCAAGAGTTGTGCAGTCCATCAATAATATTATGAATGCCAACCAAAGAACAACAGTAATCCAACCTCCAACAATATAACTAAGTATTAGCAGGCTTCAGTACTGTAGGGGTGGGTGTATGGAAAAATGTGTTTGTCTGAAGTCCTCACCCACATGAATCCATATATACGCTATATGTGGATGTACATGTGGTCCTTACCCACATAAAGCTGGCTGTAGAGCTCCAGGCGTGTGTGTCCCTGTGTAGGTGCAGGTCTGACCTCCTGGTATTTCTGGTCTAGTTGCAGAATGGCCTCTTTCGTGCTCCTCTCCGCACTGACCCGGTGCCACTGGTCATCGTTCAGCAAGGTAGGAGAGTGCACGTTCAGTTCCACCGGCCCGTTTCCTACATCGAACGAAAACGACACCACCGTGGGGGCTATGAAGAGAAACAAACAGACAGAGAGACCGCTCAAACTATTATAATGCCCAGCAGACCCCTGAAACTTTCACCACTTGTTCTTCTGAACAAGATCATGTATAACAAAAAATAAATAAAAATATAAAATAAAAATAGAATAAACAGATTTGGAGGAATTTAGCTTTACATCACTTACTCACCAATGGCTCCTCTGCAGTGAATGGGTGCCGTCGGAATTCCGAACAGCTGATAAAAGCATAACAAAGTACACAACAAGTACCCCACATGACTCCAATCCATCATTAAGACGTCTTTAACGTCAACATCTTCTTTCCGGCCCCATAAAATGCCCCATAATATTTCTTTCACCAGTAAAAAAAAGGCATCTCATCTGAATAAGAGAAACATGCACAGATCAAGCACGGTTTACAAGCAAAAGCAATTCTAAACAAATATGTTGGGGGATTTTGATATCAGAGGACAGGAGGAGATTAACTTTTTCACTGGAGGAAGCATTATTATGGATTAAGGTCTTAGTATGAATTTTGGCCAGAAGCAACAGTTAAAAGTTGAAATGCCTTTGTGATGGATTTACTTCTTACAAACACGCAGCTTTTCACTTCACAAGAAATTAACTGGACTGGAGTCGTGTGAATTTTCGTGATGTTTTTATCAGCTGTTTGAACTCTCATTCTGACGGCACCCATTCACTGCAGAGGATCCACTGGTGAGCAAGTGAGGTAATGCTGAATTTCTCCAAAGCTGTTCCAGTGTAGAAACAAACTCATCTACTTCTTGGATGGTTTGAGGGTGAATAATTCTTATTATTTATTTTAGCAAATCTTTATTTTTGAGTGAACTATTCCTTTAATATGCATTATATTGAAACTGTAATTGGTGGTGAAACATTTTATGCACTTAATAACAGTTATTTTTAACTTACATTTTAATTGGTAAGTAATTAATTAATTGTTTTTCTATGTGTTAGATTACTTGTCTAAAAAATTACATGAAATGTCAACCACAGGTTGTTCTGCATGTTTTAATTCAATGGCTCATTTAATGTTCATATATTATTGTTTTGCTTAATAATTGTTTTGCAGAACAACAATACAATGTTGTGACTTAAAATGCAGAATTAACAAACTCATCAGACTGCTTCGCTCAAGCACGCCATTAAAATTCCTCTTAACAGCCCTAAACTGAGTTGGAGAGTGTTTATTCACCATGCTGAATTCATTTTAGGCCACAGCACCTTTTAATGAGTCAGTGTTGCATATTCTCCTACATAAACAGTGAAGATTGACAGCTATACTCCTGTAGGAGAAGATGGTATTTATGGCAGGAGAAAGGAGAAGAGGCGCGAGGTGTGTTTGAGCCCTGACTGCTGTGGTATGTCATATTTAGCCCCAGAGGGCCGGGCCTCTTGGGGTTTAACCCTTGCTAAATCCTGATTTAGAAACATCCTCCTGACACCAGAAATACGTCAGAGCAACAGTGCCATCATCCACCCTCAATCGAACGTTACTGTCTGACACAAACGCTGTAGTGCCATTGTGTTTAAAGACTGCATACTGTATCCAGAGATAAGCCACATTCTCATAATTATTCATGACGCCACATGATAATTTCCTAAAACAAGCTCTTCAGACGCTCAGACAGCGAGTTGGTGTCACACTTCGAGACACCTTTGAAATGTTTATGCACAACATGCATTGCATTTATTACAGAGGAGTTTCTAGAGAGGTTGACTGGAGCTCATTTGAGAGTCTGATAGTCACCACAAACACCATCTATCCTTATCGAAAGTCTTTTAAGTGTTCAAATCACATATATTTGTGAACCAAAATCATGGGATAAACTACAAAAGTGCATTCAAATATATTTTCAGTGCAGAACACATACTGTATATAAACCACTCATTAATGCATTAAATTACAGATACAGTTTCAAAACAGGGACTAAATTGTTTCATTTTCTCATTGCTTCGGTTCATTTTCACAAGCAAATATTTCAAAACAGACCAAAATGTTGTTAACACAAGTCATATGCAAACTGTCCCCTCATTGGTCAGAATGTTATGTTCTGAGGTTTAGCTCAGTTGACTGAAATTTTCAGAATTTAAAATGAAAATGAGGGCTTTCATGTTTACTATAGCACCAGAGAGGTAAATATTAATTTAAAATGAACAATATGACACACACATGCTAATGTATGTACTGTACAAAGCCAAGAAAAAACAAAGGCCTGCCATTTCGACTATTTAATTCAATTATTTAAAAAGACAAGTATGTCAGTAAATTCACTGGGCTGACCGGCTCTGTTCGGCAGGGGTTACTATGGCTGCACAGATGCTGAAGGCAATAACTAAATTGGATTTGCTTAGTGTTGGCAGCACAGTGAGCCTGCAGTGATAGTCAGCCACTGCTATTGTCACCATCTTAGGAAGCTAAGAGAAGTGCTGATATGATACCAAATACCTGGCAGCTGCAGGGAGACACACACAGTGGACTGTCCAAACACAGCTCATTTCTGCCATTATGATCAGATTTTTCCTAACAATATCTGCTATTGTGATTGTGAGCTGCCTACCATTAGTTTTATTTGTTATTTATGCCAAACAATAAAGGGAGGTCTGTTTTCTGGTTTCTTTTGGCCGGAGTGGCAGGGGTTCCTGCTGCTCTCAGTAGGGGGTGCTATTTTACTGTACTACATTCTGATGCAGATGTTGCAGGAATTAGGGATAAGTGTTCGACTGGCATTCACACAGCCACCTGTTCATCTCAAATTCTGAACTGGAGGAGGAGATTTATGACACAGTCAGTCAGAACCCTGTGAGCAAAGGTCCAGTGCCATCAGAACAGGGCAACTGAGGTCAATTTTAGCTCAGTTATAAGTTAAAAAGCCCAGTCTTCGTTTAGAATATCTTAGTTTTAACATTTAATAATTCATCTTTTTATGATGGACTTAGTTTTGGTCATAGTCTAAGACTAAAATTCTAGGCCTGGGAGAGGGGCAAAAACAATCTATATATACCAAATGAAAAAATAACAAAAAATGACGATGCCATGGTAAAAGATTTACTATGACCTTCGTAAAACAGTGAGCAAAAAAAATAAAAATAAAGAAAAAGAAAACAAAAGTAACAAGAAACCTCTCAGAAAAAAATTGCAGCTCTACTGTCACAAAAAATATCAAATTTTTGGGCCCAATTGAGATTTTACCGTTCCAATGTGTTAATCCCAAAATATATGCCCATAAAAGAAAGAAACAGAGTCATTTGAATTGGAACATAAAAATATAGAAACTTTTGTAATTAAACACCAGTTAGCTTTGGACAAACTCCAAACACAAAGAGGAGACAGTTAACAGATTGTAATAATAAATGCTGTTATTTTGAACTTCCTATTCATCAAAGAAAAAAAAAAAGTATCCCGGATGCTACAAAAACATTACTTTAAGATTAGGGTTGAAAACACAACAGTTTTCAACAATAATAATAAGAAATGTTTTTTTTTACCACAATTAAAATATTACACCAACCTTCTTTAAACAAATATGCATTTACAGTAAAATGTTTAGGTGTTTAAGCACAATTAAGTCGCAATAACATTTTGTTTTTTATTCTGTGATGGAACACAAAAAGGATTGAGACTGTAAACTCAGAATTGCAAGAAATGTGTGAGAAAAAAATCACAATTACCCATTTTTTTCCATGGTGAAAACAGGCCTCCATAATTAAATGTTTAATTTATTTAACAAACGTACTGTACTTTATTTAACATTAACTGCTCCATTCTGTTCTCCTTCTGTTCAAGACCATCAGAACAGAACAATTTCAAGTGCATCAGCATGTGTGTTTTACACACACAATAAAAGCTACATTCACACAGCATGAAAAACATAGTTTTGTTAAATCATTCAACATAATAAAACATAATTACATATAATTTTAGAGCAATCACTAAAATATTTAAGATAAAATGATAAAAACATATTCAAATCAACACTCTAAATAATGCATAAAACAGATTTTTACAAATACTTTTGATTGAGCATGCTGCCCAAAGTCAGAACGCAGAGGGCAGCTGATCTAGATGTATAATTGAAATCAAACTCCCACTCGACTGTAACCCAACGCGGTGCCCTCCACTCATTTCATGCTCTGAGTGGATTTCACTGGGCCTCAGTTTTGAGCCGTAACTGAAGAAAACCAGGCAGGCTAAAATAAGGAAGCAGGATTAGGAGTCAGGGCATAAATCGATGAGACATAATGGAAGGCTAGAAAAAAGGTGCAGAGCTTCAATTTCACAATCTGCTTCTCTGCCTACACACACACACACACACACACACACAACTGGCCCGAACACACTCTTATTCTCACACAGAGGCCAGCAGCCAGGCCTGATTACTCTTCTTTTCAGGAAGGATTCATGCAGAAGGTGAATATCCAGCTTTAGAGAAAAGCTCTGGAGTGTTTACGCTGGGTGTCGCTGTAGAGGACCTACCAGTACGGTCGACAAGCTTAGACACAGAAGCTTAGACTCAGACACTGATACACACACAACAATACACATGCACTCTTGAACTTTGTTTTTGCTCTCTTTACTTCACTGTCCTCTCAGGGGCGTAGGAATCATTGTAACTTTCTAAGTTTGACTGCTCTCAACTTTTTGGGAGATAATCGTTGTATTCTAACAGCTTTGTTTTGCTTGGCCTTGGTGCTAAAGAAGGAAAACTTTAGCTGCATATGTAAAACAATGGCTTCATGACTGAATGGCAGTAGCCTGAATGAACACGTAAATGGTAAGTGGTAAATCCGTCTGTGCTCTTTTTAATTGTTTTGAAAAGTAAACATGCTAGATTGATGTCTTTGATCATTGCACCTAGCATAGACGTTCTTTAATGCAAGAGCTCATCCCCTAAAATAGCTAGAACCCACTCGCCTTCAATTATTTAAAACTACTGGGCGAATGTTACATCATCTAATTAATATTCATGAGACAGGCTGATGAGGTTTTTAATGTGTCGTCCTCAACTTTTTAGATCAATTCTGCTCTCTCTATTCTCTATAAAACATCAGAAAAATGGTAAAGTGTGTAAATTCTGTGCCACTACTAGGACCAAAGAGTATTGCAATTTCTTTTCTTTTTTGTAATGGCCTGGGATAACAATATTGACTTCGGGGCAGACTTCCTCTTTGGTCAGTAAGATCTTTTTCTTTTTCTTTTTTTTAAAGAAATTAATACCTTTGTTCACCAAGGATGCATTAAATTGATCAGAAGTGACAGTAAAGACATTTATAATGTTACAAAAAAGATTTCTATTTCAAATAAATGCTCTTTCAAATAACTCTGTAATATTGAAAAAAGTATTACAGTTTCCACAAAAATATTAAGCAGCACAGCTGTTTTCAACATTAATAATATTAAGAAATACTTTTTGAGCATCAAATAGCATATTAAAATTATTTCTAAAGGATCATGTGACACTAATGACTAGAGCAATGGCTTCTCAGCTTTATCGTCACAGGAGTAAATTACATTTTAAAATATATTAAAACAGTAATTTTAAATTACAATGACATTTCACAATATTACTGTTTTTACTGCATTTTTAAATTAAATAATTGCACCCTTGGTGAGCATAAGAGACTTTTCAAAAAATAAAATAAAATAATAATTTACTTTGAAGAAATAAAAGTATACATGCAATTAAGACAAAGTTTAACATGTATCAATCTATAAAACTAATAATTAGCCTAGCTCAGATAATTTGGTATCAGAGGAACTTGAAGAGAAATGTTTGAGGTCATATATTTAAATAACATGAAACCATATTTAAAAAGTAACATTCTGGCTTTTGATAGCAGACTGCTCAGGTTGTGAATCTGAGAATCAGGAGATTGAGAAAAAGTTTCCATTGAATCTCACGGCTTTCTAGGAGAAATAATTAAATATTTATGTGATCCTATTTGTAATTTTTCTTTCCTACACACCAGCCAGTTCCGCTTTTGCTAAGACGCAGAATCTCTAGCTGAGTAAAGTCCCTGAATGAGAGCTGAAAATGGAAAGGCAGCACATCTGTCATGTCGAGACCCTCAGTGATCTCTGATGCCAATAACCTTTTGCTCTCTGGAGGGCCGTGGCACTGCTGGGGCAAAACGAGCAGCAATAAGCGCTAATGCTTTCCTGTTTCCTCCATATTCCGATCATGCCAGGCTCATTCAGGGCCACTTTGTATGCATCCGTGCCCTGCTAGCAGTACAAACACTCAGTGCGGTCTTCTCCATGGACAGGCTTGCAGACTTTTACATGTGCTGTATGCATAATGCCCGGCTGGCCGTCTCTCTCCCTGCACTCCTCCATCAAGTGATTGATGTTTTGCTGTCACCAGCTTCTGAGAAAGCACTAAGCGAGTCGCTGTTCTCTCTGCTCGGTCTCACCTGAAGCTTTTTTTTTTCTATTTTCATTTAAAAATGTTGAAGAGTTGAAGAGAACAAGATTTGCTTCTTCTCACAATTCATAGGAAGGGTAAAGCAGTAGGGTGTAAAAATAATGGGTTATGTATGGATTCTGGAATGTGTGTAAATGAGAGAGCAGGGAATGTGACGTCCTCTGCCTCACCATAACCCTCGTGTTCCCTCGTGCCCCTGAGATGAGAACAGGGAGACTGCAGGACGTGTGAATTTGACAAAGGGAGCCACTAAGCAGCTTTCCTTCCATCCGTGTGCGTCTTCAGAGCCCTTGAGAGATACACCAATGACTGGGGTGACGGCTGGGGAACACACTCCAGGCTTAGGATTGGGTGTGTGTGTGTGAGGGTGTAAAAACTGAAGAAATTATTTCCTGCTACCCAGAACACAGTATTCCGAAATACTCATCACATAAGAATAATTTTAATATAACTTATTAATCAGTGACACACATAGAACACAACTATGAGGCACTACACTATCACCAGGGAACCGATAGCCTATTATAATATTTTTGTATGTTTATATTCACTTTCTATTTATGAATACCACATTATTTGAAAATCTCAAGTTCATAATATAATATAATATAATATAATATAATATAATATAATATAATATAATATAATATAATATAATATAATTAGGATATTTCAAAATCTATATAATATAATAATATATAGTATATAATATAATATTAGATTAAAGAATTTATAATAGTTTCTATTTATACAGTAAGTTTATAATATAATAAATTACAACATATAATAATATATAATGTAATATAAATGAACTATTAAATGAATACCAGTATAAAGTCTATAGTTATGTAAATAATAATAGTTTAAATAATCTAATCTAATCTAGTAAAATATATTTAAAAAAATAAATGTGAACAAGACAAAACAGAAACAAACAAACAAAGAAATAAAAAAAATACCAGAATATTTCAAAGTCTATTAATTTTATAATATAATATAACATAATATTTAAAAAGTAAAATAAGCAAAAGTACATAAGAGATTATTATTATTATTTTTATTATTATAAATAACCTACATAATAAAGCTTTTATTTGTCAGTAAAAACTGTTGCTTTAGCTCATATCTTTAATAGTTACCAAATTTGTGCTCACAGATTACATTTTCTTTCTTTTATTTGATTTGGATGAGACCAAAAGTGGGGACTTGTGTATTTTGTAATCAGTCCATCCATTTTCACCAGGTTGATTCATTCAGGCCAATTTGCAGACTGGTTGTGAACACAACAGATGTGTATTATGACACTGACAGAGCAATCAGCCAATCAGAGCAACACGAAGACATTACTGCTGTGTTTATTTTTTATCTGATGAACACCTCTGAGAAGATATATGAGTGAAAGTATTATGGTGTAAAATAAATTATTAAAGACATTGTTTATAATTTAGATCCAAAAATAAATTCGCAATTTATTGTATGTTTGTGTATGCATAAAATCCATTAGCTATTGACTATGTAAATGCTAAATCTGTTTTTTTTCTCCTCTGGCCTTCAGTCTAGGTAAAACTAGAACAATCAACTGGTGCAGAAATGGGAGACAAAGCACATAACAACAACATTTAAAGATTTACACAGACAATAAATTACAGAGCGAATAATCGTTCTGCAACAATGAACCACTTTAGAAAACATGAAACACCACATTCAACACAAGATTTATCCGCAATGGTGTATTTTTGTGCTCTGCATTGCCTATTGTGCAGTAAACAGTGTGAAAGAGCAGCCAGCTCGGCTTGTAGGGTGAAAACTCAATCTGCATGATAGAGATTCGCCTCTTTTGCTTCTTTTTTACACAGTGAAAAAATTTAAATCCTCAGTTATGTTGCCTTATGTATAATCTAGGCATTTTTGCGGAAATAGGCTGTAAAATGTCAGTAAATAGACATTTATAAGCAATTATGTTTTAATTCACCTGTGTTTTCTTTTTCTTAAGCTTCCATTTGTATAACAGAGAACAATCAGCAGAACATATGAGGCGAATGTATTGTAATCAGTGCTGCAAACAGACTTTTCTTTGTCATTTCATCATTTCTTATTCTGATATTCTGCAGTTTAAAGTTAAAATGCTTTAAAGATTTTTTAATGATTTGTTTATTACAAAGACACAGCTTTTCACTTCATAAAACATTAATTGATGGACTGGAGTAGTGTGGATTACTTATGGATTATTGTGATGTTTTTATCAGCTGTTTGAACTCTCATTCTGACGGCACCCATTCACTGCAGAGGATCCATTGGTGAGCAAGTAATGTACTGATAAATTCCACACTTCACAGCAGTAATTGCACAACCATGGGATTCAGAGAGCAGCAGGACAGACAGACAGATACAGAGAAAAGGATAAAAAAGAGGAAGAAACAAAGACAACATGAGCCAGGCTCTTACATTTCAATTCCAGACGGATGAAATCCGTGTTTCCAAGGTTTTCCAGGAACACGCCATAGGGAGCAGAGGTCTTGAAGTAAAAGGAGATATCAGCACTCGTTTCTCCTTGAAAAGTGGAGAAGTGCAGGTACGAGGATGGCGTGTTGAATGATGCAGCATTCCAATAGCTTCCTGTAAAACGGATCAGAGAACAGGCCGAATGTAAGTTTCAACAGTTTTGCTTCTGAAGTCTGCAGTCAAGGTCCTTTTTTATCCAATATCTGAACCAGAACAGCATTAAACCACCATGAAATTCACAAAAGCAAAGCTTTCGCTGACACAAAATGACTTATTGCATTGCAATTCTGCACTGTGTCCAGTCTTCAGAGGTCTCATATACTCAAAGAAACATCTGAGAAGTGACCTGTATAATCAAAAAACACTTAGGAGGAAACCACCAAACAAGAGGAAAACAACAATTTAATCATACAAGTCAACTCTTGTCACAAATCTGAGTGGGGTGCACCATTCAGGGCTTTAGCTAGTTCTTGCCATTACGTTGGTGAGTGCTGTGTATGTGACCACAGTATGTATGAGATCATGTGGTGCCTTAGAATTATTTCAAAGCCAGCTTGCCAACATCTTCCCTTTCCAACAGCTTTCATGGTTTGACCCCCACCCATCGTGTAATAGAGGCACACTGAATCCCCACTTATCTGAGTAGAAGAGACAAAAATAAAGTTAATTTCTCTCTAAGATGATGAGTAGTGCATTTTTCAGGTAAGGGGGATATTTTGGGAGATAGCTGAGCTGAGGGATAAAGTGAGAGATCACTCAAAATCAAACACAAGTTTGAGGTAAGCTTATGTTTAGCTTGAATATCTCCAGAGCTTTGCTGTGGACAGTTATTAGACAATCTGTGGCTGGTTTTAATGTGTGTGTGCATGTGTGGGTGATAACATGCCAGCTCCCATTCGTCATTCTGGTGAAATATCTCCATGTACAATTAAAAATAATATTTGCTACACTGCATTCTTGCATATAATTCCTGTTGACAAGTATGCAGCGTTTTGGATGCTAGCTTTTGCATCATCTGGGATTCTATAGACAAAAATCTGAAATTCATGATTAGGGCTAAAGACCTTCCATAAAGGAAAATAAGAAACTAAATATATATATAAATAAAAACACCCAACTGCAAATATCCAAAATATTTATAATGTATTTGGGGTCAATAAGGTTTTTATTTATTTTTTTTTTGAGAAAAAAAAATACTTCAGCAAAGCTGCATTAAATTAGACAAATGTGACAGTAAATTATATTGTTACAAAAATTGTTAAAAACTTCTTGTTCGTCCCACCCCTTCTTTAAAGAAAACAGGTCAAAAATAAATAAATAATAGTCCACTAGCTAAACCAACTTCAAATTAACTTGGAAGTTCAGCAGGGCTTGTTTATAGGCACTTTCTTCTCATATTCAACAATGTCATAATAAATAAACAGCAGAATGTCTGACTGAAATATTTTTTTGCTCAGCTACTGGCTAATTTATTTTTTTGAGAAAAAAAAAAATACTTCAGCAAAGCTGCATTAAATTAGACAAATGTGACAGTAAATTATATTGTTACAAAAATTGTTAAAAACTTCTTGTTCGTCCCACCCCTTCTTTAAAGAAAACAGGTCAAAAATAAATAAATAAATAAATAAATAATAGTCCACTAGCTAAACCAACTTCAAATTAACTTGGAAGTTCAGCAGGGCTTGTTTATAGGCACTTTCTTCTCATATTCAACAATGTCATAATAAATAAACAGCAGAATGTCTGACTGAAATATTTTTTTGCTCAGCTACTGGCTAAATGCTAAACCACAAACACAGTGACAGACACAAACACATTGCCATTAATGACTGAGATCAGATCTATCCCTAGACATTTACTGTGACTCATGTACTTTAAATCAGAAAGCTAAATAATGTCAGCACTCTCTGCTCTAATGTCGTGCATAAAACACAACTGTCGCAGAAGACAGAGAATAAAAGATCTAAGGAAGGAAAAAAACAGAATGTGATGTAGAGGAACAATGTGACAATGGACCGGAGAGATATTAGAGGATGATGTCATCTCAAGACAGATGGAAACAAAGAGAAACGGAAAAAGAGAGAGAGACTACACTGTAAAAAAAGATTTTTCGAAGCTGTAAAAAAGATTATCAGACAAGATTTACAGGAAAAATACTATTTCAGTTTTATGTTTAATTCAAAGTATTGCTTGCCATTTTCTTGTAATTATTTGTGAAATTTGCTAGCAATTTCTGAGTGAAAATGTTTGTTTCCAAGTAATTTTTTTTGTAAAGTGTAAAGCTTAGTTTAATTCAGGATCTATTCTATTTCATTTCTAACCAATGGGTCAAAGTTTAGCTGGTTAGTATGACCAGGAACTATAACATTCTGTATGTTTTTTGGTGAACTACCCTTTTAATAAATCAGAAGTTGTTAACTATTATTGTTATTTATTATTACTATTATTGTATGTATCCTTAAATACACACTTTTAACAATAAAAAAAGTTTTTGCATGCAGCCAGTGAAGACAATGCAATAGAAAGATTGCCTTTGCATCACACAAAAATCCAGATTGCAAGTAGTTACATTTCTGCAGAATCAGCAGCTGCAAAAGCATCACTGCTGTATAAAGCTACTGGTGTGTACCTGCAAAAAATGTTCACCCCATCAGCACTGAATGCCAGAGAAATCAAGGTCCCATTCCTTTTCTTTCTCACAGCCACCTATATCCCATAAATCGCTTTCTATACATACAAAAAATTTACTAAACTTCACCCAATGCTTATTTGTCCCTGCACTCACTTGTTCTGTGAATAATGTGTGTAAAGTGTAAAGCTTAGTTTAATTCAGGATCTATTCTATTTCATTTCTAACCAATGGGTCAAAGTTTAGCTGGTTAGCATGACCAGGAACTATAACATTCTGTATGTTTTTTGGTGAACTACCCTTTTAATAAATCAGAAGTTGTTAACTATTATTGTTATTTATTATTACTATTATTGTATGTATACTTAAATACACACTTTTAACAATAAAAAAAGTTTTTGCATGCAGCCAGTGAAGACAATGCAATAGAAAGATTGCCTTTGTATCCATATCACACAAAAATCCAGATTGCAAGTAGTTACATTTCTGCAGAATCAGCAGCTGCAAAAGCATCACTGCTGTATAAAGCTACTGGTGTGTACCTGCAAAAAATGTTCACCCCATCAGCACTGAATGCCAGAGAAGTCAAGGTCCCATTCCTTTTCTTTCTCACAGCCACCTATATCCCATAAATCGCTTTCTATACATACAAAAAATTTACTAAACTTCACCCAATGCTTATTTGTCCCTGCACTCACTTGTTCTGTGAATAATGTGTTTCTGTGTTGACTGGAGTAGGAGGAGAAGCAGAGACGTTCACAAGCCCATTAGGGAGGTCTGAGCTTATCACAGCAGCACAGGAACAGCTCTTTTATTCAAGTTTGCTGAATGTAAGACTCTCAGTCTGTCCATCCATTAACACCCAATGTTCCAGCACATACTAATTTAATTATTCGCCGATTTGCAGAATTTTCGATGGGAGCTGGTGTTTTTTTGGAACAACGTGGGGCGTTTTTAAATCAGGCTAATAAGGCGGTACATGCGGCTGATTAAATATGGCTCCTGCCATGCAACAAAAGGCAGTGAAACAATTGATAGTTCACCCTGTAGATGAGCCTCGCTCTCCTTCCTCAGTGAAGGATTACAATCTTGTGTTCGAAATGGAATGTTACACTGATTGTTTCAAAGCATCTCAATTTCACGCGTCACTTCTGGTTAGGATTTTTTTCTTTTTCGGATAAGAGTTTTGAGTCATGTCCAGATGTGATTTAAAAAAAAAAACTGATTCAATAAGATTTGGAGTGTTCTTGAGCTATGACAAAAGTGAATGAACGTTTGGAAATTCCTTGAGAATTTCGCTTTCACAGAGTCAAGGACAATGACAGTAGAGGTGTGAAGCACAAACTGATTTACATTGATGCATAATGTTACATGCGTAACCTGGAGATATTCCCCTTCAGGAACTCGAGCTGCGTCAAAACGCTACGGGAACGAGAATGCCAACGCCGCCAGACTTGCAAATCCCTAACAACTAAGGCGAGAGAAAAAGGGAGCCAGGAATGGCTAAAGTAGGCGGGCCCGCCATCCCGAAGGCCAACTTCTGGAGGAGTGAGCCTTGACCCCCGAAGGAGAGGGGAGATCAGAGGGCTCAAGACTATGGAATAGCATCCTGATCCACCACTTAGCATAAGCTCCTCTGGCCGGAGGCCTCGGCCTCAGCGCACCGCGGATGGCCGCAATGGCCCCCACGAAGACCTCTAGGGTGGAGTGGGTCAATCCTGTGGATAAACAGGCCTGCAGGAACTCCAGAACTGTACCAAACGGGCAGTTAGCTGGGTCGAGCTGGTGGTCTCCGCACCAAGAAGTACAGTTTCCTCATAGAGGGAGCTCTGGATGGAGGATGGTCTCAACAACCTCGATTGAGAGACCGGAAGCTATGAGTTGTGCCTCCTCAGAGGCCACACCCACAGTTTCCACAGCTTCGGGCGGGGGCGCGTCCTCCGACTGTGAGAGGAGATCTCTCCTGACGGGAATCTCCCATGGAGCGCTGTCAAGGAGCTGATTCAATAAGATTTGGAGTGTTCTTGAGCTATGACAAAAGTGAATGAACGTTTGGACATTCCTTGAGAATTTCGCTTTCACAGAGTCAAGGACAATGACAGTAGAGGTGTGAAGCACAAACTGATTTACATTGATGCATAATGTTACATGCGTAACCTGGAGACGTTCCCCTTCAGGAACTCGAGCTGCGTCGAAACGCTGCGGGAACGAGAATGCCAATGCCGCCAGACTTGCAAATCCCTAACAACTAAGGCGAGAGAAAAAGGGAGCCAGGAATGGCTAAAGTAGGC